AACACCATCGCTATGCGGAACCTAAACACATAAGAAATTTATCAAGCTATTTTGTAGCTCACACGTCACAATATAGCATTACATGAAATAGCCGACGACGAAATAACATCCAACATCCGAATACTCCTCCATAAGGAGCGCTATGCTGAAATGAACACATCTGGCCTGATATAGAGCCCATATTCATATTTAAATCCATTCACAAACCTCAAGCCGATTCTGATCGTATCGACCTAGGCCAATAATCTTTCCTGGGTCCATAACAACCCCCTTTTTCCCATAACACACAAGAACAACCATCATAACCGGAGCAATCCTCCACAGTCCACAACCCAATAAACCGAGAGCCCTCTAGGCATAAATTCTCAAATTAACGATATCACCACAATCTTCATACTTGGTTTAATTCTTCAATCAATCAAGTGGCTACATACCACACTTATACAATCTTCCCATGGGGCACGCTCCCACAACCTTCCGTAACAGATAACAAGTCTGTAAATCCATACCACCGGCCGCACTAACGCTAAAAAGCAATCAAGAATCCATAACCAGGATGCAAAGACTTTTTCACAAAACACCGATCTCAAGTGATGCTGAAGACAATGCCAGCTTACTCTGAACATTCAAACCCCTTTCACGCTCATCCCAGCTTGTGACATCCTTGTCAGCACCTAACCACAACCTTGATCCTCACTTTCAAATTCATACCACTCACTGCACTTAACATGCTAATATGCGATAGTACAAGATTTTCATCATAACTCCGGAACCACTAATAGATTAATACTTCGTCATATAGAAACTTTTTACTTAACTCATTTCAAGAGAATCATAGCAATACACAAGTGAATTCTCATAACCGTAGAAGATGCAAATCTTTAAATAGTGGTCTAAGCCACCATAGCCCTTTCTGGGATCCGCCTACATATAGCAGGCCATAATACTAGAATACTTCTGAATAAAATCAATTACGGCGGTCGACAAGCCTTACACGTACCGTCACAAATCACTTGCATAACTTAATCACGCTGAAAGAACTGATCACTGCCACCAGTATGCCAATTTAACCATGGTTAACCAATCCAACCTCTTCCAATTTATCCTTAATTGACTTAGAATAATAATAACTTCATTCAACACATAATGCACTCAACCCGCACTCATCCCGAGTGGCCTTGTAACACGAGACCATGTTGTCTCAAATCCCACGAACCACCTCATACCTTCCTTGTGCGCATATTTGCATCTCGACTAGTACATCCATTCTGATAATTCCTCTACGAATCCGAAGTCATTTTCTCTCATTCCCCCAACTGTTACACTGCAAGCCGAAGATATCATAGAACATTCCAAGACTCTTTTCATAATCTGCTGCAAAAGCTCAATTCTTAATCATACTTATGGGCTCGAAATCATTAGGCACCACACTTTAACTTTTGAATCCACTAGAACCGTTGTTGAGATCCACCCACTCTGACTTGGTCCCGAATATAATCAACTCCATGAATCTTCTAGCACATGAACACCCTCTCGACGAAGCACCCGACCGAATCACTTTCCTTGAAACCCGATCTATGCAAGGCATAAATCCTGAATCCTTCCCCAAGTTTGAACATGAGTCAATAAGGCCAACTATAGCACGCCTTTAACAAGTCCTTTGCTCAAATTACCTCTTATGTTATTTTCCCTTAGCTGAAATAGCCCATCAATATGCTAATAACCAGAAATCTCACAAATAGACGACCATGCAATCCAACCGTAGGCAGTGGGACTCTCCCACTTAGCTTGAAGCCACTATTACACAACTCTAGAATCTACCAAGATTCTTTATCTCTTATTGACATGACCTTGTGCAATTAAACCGCCAGATTCCTCGAAATCTGTCGTTAGCATTTCATGAACACTCTGAATCTCTAGAAACATTCACATATTAGACCTCTTACCGAATAACCAATAAAATCCTTCGCGAGAGCTTCACCATCCATGCGACCGCTGACCCGCTTATAGGAGATAACCCACCTGAGCCCGTGCTCATTCACCAGCTGCACAAGTCCTTTGACTCCTCATGGACATCAACTGAATATGCGACAATATCTTCCAATTCAAAGTTATGGTGTATCCTTCTTCATATCAAGCAACTCCTTTCCGTCATATCAAATCTCCCGTCGTATGCTAGCCAATATTTCAAATTAAGCTCGTAGACCCAATCATTATCCACTAAAATTCTCAAATCACTCCAAACTTTCCTCAAGGGTGTAGTTTTCCTGCCACTGAACCTATGTGATTCTCTGCCACTCTCCCACCTTGGCAAACCCTCTTCTTTAAGCAACTCTTCGACTTCCGCTTCTTACACCTGGCTTCCTTAAAAATTTAGCCATCGCATGACACTTCCCACTTGTCCTTCCCCATCCTTTGTTGCCCAACTATTGCCTTAATTAAATCTTTATCTCTATAACATTTGAAACAACAAATCGTTACTAACTTTAAACTTTTTCGAAGATTATCTTTCTTTATTAGTCCACATTAGAAACATCGATTTAATCCTGAACCACCGCACCCTGCGATCTCTGAAAGCAGCTTCTCCAATACTATTTCATAATATCCTGCCCCATAGGCGAATCGTAGAAGACCATAACACCGGCGAACTTAACACATCCAATCGAGGACAACGATACCACGTCGCAGATGAAATCCCACCACACTTGAAAACACCAAGTCTCGTTACTCCATCGGTCCAAATCAGGACATTCATAGGCCAATTACTTTTTTTCGCCGGAAATGAAATACCGAACCACTGAATCGCACACTGAGTAGACCTCCTTTCAAGTCATTCACTGCCCCAATACATAGGCAAGTATCCTATTATCACGTCAATACCGTGCGATAACCAGTCATGAGCAATCATAGAAATCTACGCATAGCCTCAAGCTCTCAGAAGTGCAGCTACCGAGCCACAATAATAGAATATCTTTCCGCAAGGCGACGACAATAGCCGAACCAACTATGCCAGGAGAAACATCCCGCACCACATCTGTAGTACCATTACAATTCCTCAATTCTCGATTTATAATAAGTGCTTCGTGTCGCATAAGATTGAGTAGGAAAGAAACAAGGGCATAAGCCTCAATGGAATCAAACGGCACGATGAGAAATCAAGAAGGGAAGTGCTCATAACAACCCTATAGCCTCTCAGAGATAAGTGTAGACGTCTCCATACCGATCAGCAAGACTCTACTAGACTCGCTCATGACTCGTGAGACCTAAGTGAACCTAGTGCTCTGATACCATGTTGTCATGACCCAAAATCCACTAAGGGTCATGATGGCGCCGGACACGCAGTCAGGAAAGCCAACCATAAATACTTAATTAAATTCTCGTTTTAATAATTTTGAAAACTATGATTTTCCTTTAATTTAACTAGGAAAAGATAATCTTTACAAAATAAATATAAGAATGTTTAGAAGTTAATACATAATACCCCATAATCATCCCAGAACCCAGTTTGACAAGTGCATGAGCAATTTTTAGGAAATAATGTAATACAATAACCGTCCGGAATACAATTGGACAGAAAAAAATTACAATACTCTAAAAGAGACTCTGCTGGATGCGGGCCGTCTCGAGAAATGTAGCTCACCTAAGTCTCTGTATTAACCATGCCACTACGCCAAACTAGGCCATTAGACCAACATGTGCCTGTGCAACAAAAATGCACAACAAGTGTAGCATGAGTACGATAACAACGTGTACCTAGTAAGTATCTCACCTAATCTCGAAGAAGTAGAGACGAGAGGTCGACTTCGACACTTACTAGTGGCCCAATGATGATATACCAATAATGTAGTAAATCGAGGATTTTCATAAAGATGGCTGTAACTAAATAGAATTAAGCAAGTAAGGAATTCTTTTATTAATAAGAAATTTCCAAATTCATTTTCATCATTTATACATTTATCTCAAGCCAGGGAGAACAAATATCAACATCTATAAATATTAAGGCAAGCAATACAAGCATGCGCAAATCATGCCGAGGTCGTACGGTCTGATTCAACAAATAATTAAATTGTGCACTGCTAGAGGATCGAATGGCGTGAACCATAGGTGCATCTATTACCCCACTCGCGAATCAAACATGCGACGCAGTCAAACATAAATAAACAATCACCTCGCTAGCGAATCATACATGCGAAGTAGGTACACATAGAAATACACATTCAAATAGTCAATCAAAACTTCATCAGGGAGGCAATTATTCAAGGAAGTGTCAATTTCTCTTTTACAAGTCGAGAAAACGAAGTTTAACTCTTTTAGAAAATCATTTACCACTTTGATGCAATTAAAGCAATTTAAACTTTCAATAAGGTTACAATTATTATAAGAAAGGCATGCTTTTGGGTCCTAGACTACCCGGACTTAAGCATAATAGTAGCTACGCACGGACTCTCGTCACCTCGTGCGTACGCAGCCCCCACACATAGAAGCACATATCCAATTAATTCACCTATGGGGACAATTCCCTCTTACAAGGTTAGAAAGGAGACTAACCTCGCCCCAAAGTTCCAAAACCGGCATTCCAAGCCCTTCCGAAGACTCAAATTGATGCCCCAATGCTCCAAAACTAGCCAAATAAGGGGCAAACCAATGAAAATATATCCTAATACTCATAAAATTCAATTTATAACAATTCCTAACCTCGATCGAAATGTTGACAAAATTGCCCTTAGGCCCACGTGCCCGGATTTCGAAATTTTTGGAAGATAAAGCTCACCCAAAACCTCACGAGCTCAAATATATTTCATGCCCAAATTCGTGGTATAAATCCAAAATATCAATTTTTAGGTCTTCTACCAAAAATCCACAATTTCCACTAATTTTCATGCTCAAATCCATATATAATCCTAGTATTTAACTTGCAATAGGTGAGAATCACTTACGTTGACATAGATGACGAAAATCTCCCTTTCAAGAGCTTCAAAAATCCCCCACTCAAATGAAAAATGGAGGAAAATGACCAAGATCCGTCTTTAAAACAACTCACTGCCCAACACTGCCCTTCTCCGCGAATGCGACACTGCCCTCACGTTCGCGAAGGCCAAAAATCAGCTTCGAACAAATTCCTCTTTCGCGAACGCGAGACCCGACTTGCGAACACGTAGCTTCACCAGGCAACCCCTTCACGAACGCGGGCACCACTTTGCGAACGCGAAGGCTAAAAATCATGGGCCTAGTTCTTCTCCTTCGCGAACGTGAAGACAAACTAGCAGCTAACACAAGACCTTCTTCGTGAACGCGGGAACTCCTTCTTGTTCGCGAAGAACAAAACTAGAACCAGACATCAGCAACCCTAAAACATCCCGAATTGATCTGAAACCACCCTGAAATACGCCCGAGGCCCCCAGAACCCTGTCCAATCACACCAACTAGTTCCAAAACATAATGCGGACCTGTTTGAGGCCTCAAATTACATCTAACAATGCTAAAATCAGGAATCAAACTCCAATTCAAGCTTTATGAAATTTACAACTTCAAACTTCTACATTCGATGCCGAAACCCACCAAATCTTGTCCGATTGACCTCAAATTTTGCGCACAAGTCATATTTGACATTACGGACCTACTCCAACTTCCGGAATCGGATTTCGACTCCGATATCAAAAATTCCACTTCTGGTCAAACTCCTAAAAAACCTTCAAAATCTTTAGCCAAATGACTCCAACATGACCCACGGTCCTCCGAATTCACTTTCGATCCGCTCCCAATACCAAAATCACCATACGGAGCTATTCCCACACTCGGAATCCCAAACAGACATTGATAACACTGAAATGCACTTCAATCTAAACTTATGAAATTCTTCCAAAAATGTTAACTTCCACAATAGGTGCCGAAACATTCTCAGGTCTTCCAAAACTTGATCCAGACATACGTCCAAGTCCGAAATCATCATACGAATCTGCTGGAACCTTCAAATCTCGATTCCGAGGTCGTTTACTCAAAAATTCAATCTTAGTCAATTCTTTAACTTAAAGCTTCTGAAATGAGAATTCTCTTTCCAAATCAATTCTGAACTTCCCGAAATTTAATTTCGACCATGCGTACAAGTCATAATACTTGAACTAAAGCTGCTCATGGCCTCAAACTGGTGAACAACGCGCTAGAGCTCAAAACGACAGGTCGGATCGTTACAATGAGTTTCCAACATAACATAGATACAAGATGAATCTTTTTTACCACACCGATAAAATATCAAAGTAGTGAAGAGATCTCTTTTTTTTTAAAATAAACAAAAGAAGTGGCAAGTAGTGAAGTGTTCTCTTGAACTGCAACACTTTGCTTGTCACCTGTCAACCTAGATCAAACTACTTTGTTTAAAAGAAAGCTGAAAAGTGAAAACAATGAATTTTCACAGCTAAATTCTTCTTTTCCTTCTTTCTCTTTTTTGGCAGGAAATTCACGGTTATTAAGGTCCAATCGGAGTCAAGTGAGAAAATTAACGGCAGCAGATAGTCATAGATGTGGAAAAGAGAGATTAGTCATGCAAGCACAAAAACAACAAGAAGCTAAGCATGAAAACTGACAGATACCCACCAAATTCAATTACTATGAAGTAACGCGTGCAACAAAGAAAACGGAAGAGAGAAAATACTCACCTGAGCTCAAGAATACAGATGAATTGGAACCAAAAACAAAGGCAAAGAATATGAATACAAAAGAAGAAGAGTAACTTCTTCCCCCTCTCCCCACAGAATAAATAAATAAAACTCCGATGAATGACTAGCCATCAAGAAGAATTACTAGTCGTCTCTGCTAAAATTATTCTCACTTCTTCAACACCCAATTGGATTTTGAAAGTATCCTCTTGCTTGCACAACACCTTACGCTCAACCAATTGTAACAAAATTAGTAGAATCTACATGACTATTGATCATGTGATTCATGTTTCTCACACAAAATGTTCACCAAATATTTATTGATTTCTCAGTTTCAACTGTTACATGCTTTATCAATTCATCAGGAACAGAAAACAGCTATGGAATTGCTTGAACAATATATTAAATTCCAACAAGGAGCAATTGAAAATGAAAAAAAGAAGAAAAAGTAAAAGTTCCCTTTCCCTTGAGTCCTATTTATTTGGTGCTTACGAACTTAAAATCTTATATTCGCCTCGTTAATTCATTTTTATAGGAAAGAAAAGAACCCCTTGAAACCAAAACAACCAGTGTCAGCATTTTTCGTGTTTACAAAAGAGCATCGCATTGCTCTACTTACTGAGAACAAGAATGTGAAGGAGGTAATGATGAGTTTCATTGTTTGCTCGAACTGCACTACTTGGAATTGAGGCACAGTTGTTGTCGTTGTTATTATTATAGGGATTATTAAATTTCTAAGCTATTATTTCACAATTTATAGGTGGCAAAGATTACAGGCGAAGAATGGAAGAACATGACAGAGAAACAAAAGCCGCCTTATGAAGAGGTCTTTTACTTTGTCTTGGAAAATTGAAATCCCTTTGCTTCACTCAAATATTTCTATTTTTATCGGAAACAACCTCTTTGACCTTCCAGGGTAGGGGTAAGGCGGTGTACATTCTACCCACCCCAGACTCCACTTGTGGGAATACACTGGGTTGTTGTTATTGTTGTTGTCGTTGTTGTTAGAAGCTAAATAAATGCTTTCAAATATGCAGATGGAGCAATATTTGCAAGAAATGGAAGTTTATAAGAAGAAAAAAGATGAAGAAGCTGCTGAACATTTGAAGGAAGTGGAGGAACTGATGAAACTTAAGAAGCAAGAAGCACTTCAATTGCTCAAAAAGAAAGAAAAAACAGAAAATTTAATCAAGGTTCTTATTATATATTGTTGCTCTAGCCATTCTTGATCCAATTACTGATTAGGCTATGAAAAATCGAATTAGCTGATGATTGATATTGGTTTGTTGTGGCGATTAGCAGAAAACGAAAGGAAATCACCAAAAGAAGAAACAAAAGCAAGAGAAAAATGTGGATCCTAACAAACCAAAGAAGTCTGCTGGATCAGTCTTTCTTTTCAGCAAAGAGGAAAGGAAGAAACTAGGAAGAGCGACCTGGAATCAACAATTCTACCATTACTGCTCTCATTTCTCTGAAATGGAAAGTAAGCTCCGTGCAGTGTATTGATTCTTACGCTATTAGTTTAATTTGACCTATAACATGTAAATCTTTATAGCAAACCTATATGGTAACTTGAAGAAATAAAATTAATAAACATATTATAACCAATTAAATTGAATTGACTATGTATATAACTTTTTTCAGTCCAAAGTATACATATTTTTCTTTAGTATGTGGTGATGTGAGCTATTGTTTTGATTTGTAGGAATTGAGTAAAGAAGAAAAGCAAGTGTGGAACAACAAAGCAGCTGAAGCAATGGAAGCATACAAAATGGAAATGGAACTAATTATCATCTAACCTAACTAATTTTGTTCTAAATTGCCATGTGGTCTATTGTGAGACTGTTTACATATAATCGAAATACTATCATATTTAAATTAACTTGTAATTTTAAATTTTTTAGAAATATAAACAAATTAGTAATTTTACCTTTTTCATAAATTTACTGATATTTTTAATAATTTTTATTTTTGTATTATTTGCCATAAGCAAATGAACTTTTACTTTATCTCAACTCAAATATTTCTATCTATAAATTGAAATATATTTTTATCTTTAAATTAGAAATCAAATTATTTTCTTTCTCAAAAATAATATTGGCAGTTTTTTTTATAGATATAGACTACCATATTAGGAAGAAACTACTCCCCAATTTGAATAAGCATTTTTTTTCTTATTTTTTTTATTTTAGAATAATTTTAAGACTCCAACTTTGTTGGAGCTATCCTCGTATTATCTCTGTTTTCATCTTTGTAATTTTTTTTCTACTGTAATATTATAATTAGTTTTTTTTTATTTTGAATTTTAGATAAAATCGAAATACTATCATATATTATTAACCCGTCAACTGATAAATATTGGTGCAACAATCAGAAAACATATGGGTAATAATATAATTAGTAGGTTGAAAAGTTGTCTAATTGCCCGATCAAGAAATCTTGCTATGGTACAAAATTTTTCAAATTCAAAAATAGTAACTAATTATTAATAATACGTAGAATTTTTTTCTATATTATATGGAATAAACAATTAGACTTTCTTCTATTTTATTTTCAATATAAAGTTTTAATTTTTATATTTTTTATTATGTTGCTTGTAGTAATTTCAATTTCAAATTAGGCTTTTCTTCTATGTTTAGATTCAAATTCAAAATAGTAAATAATTATAATGAGCATAATTTATTTTTGTAAAATTTAAATTCAAAGAAAAAGTAATTACTATCTAACCTAAATAATTTTGTCCTAAAATTGCCAAGTGACTTTTTATTATGTTGCCCCTTGACTTACTTTCAATATAAAGTTTTGATTTTTATATTTTTTTACTATGTTGCTTGTAATTGTTTGAAATTCAAATTAGACTTTTCTTCTATGTTTATATTCAAATTCAAAAATAGTAACTAATTATTAATAACACATAGTGCACAATTTATTTTTCTAAAATTTAAATTCAGAGAAAAACTAACTATTACCTAAGCTAACTAATTTTGTCCTAAAATTGCCAAGTTGCTTTTTATTATGTTGCCACTTGGCTTACTATGGTGTCTTTGCCTATCCTATATATATAAATTTCAATATAAAGTTTAGATTTTTAAAATTTACTATGTTGCTAGTAATGGTTTCAAATTCAAATTAGACTTTTCTTCTATGTTGAAATTGAAATTCAAAAATAGTAACTCATTATTAATAACACATAGTGCATAATTTATTTTTTTAAAATTTGACTTCAAAGAAAAACTAACTATTACCTAATCTAACTAATTTTGTCCTAAAATTATCAAGTGGCCTTTTATTATGTTGTCACTTGGCTAACTATTGTGTCTTTGCCTCTCCTGTTATATATAGATAATAATGGTTTCAAATTTAAATTAGACTTTTCTTCTATGTTGAAATTCAAATTCAAAAATAGTAACTAATTACTCATAACACATAGTGCATAATTTATTTTTTAAAAATTTAAATTCAGAGAAAAACTAACTATAACCTAAATCTAACTAATTTTGTCCTAAAATTGCCAAGTGATTTTTCATTATGTTGCCATTTGACTTACTATGATGTCTTTGTCTCTCATATTATATATAGATAGATAGATAGAT